CGCTACACCCTGTTAACCAAATTGAGGTAATCAGCTCTGAGGAAGAGTCACCGGACCCAAAACGTTAACTCTGTTTTCTCCTCCACAGATGCTGCCAGACCTGCTGAACTTTTCCAGCAACTTTGTTTTCGTTCCTGATTTACAGCATCCGCAGTTCTTTTGGTTTTTATTAACCAAGTTGAGGCGCTACTTTAGCTATTTTATTCTGAGAGGCACCACATGTCACATTCAGTATCAAAACAGAAACTGCTGAAAAAAAATTACTTTCTCTCCACAGATGCCGCCAGACCCACTGAGTGTTTCCAGCGATTTCTGTTCTTGTTTCTGATTGCCAGCATCAGTTTTATGTCACTTTCAGAATCACGGTCACAAACGCAGTCCCGGACAAGGTGCAGTTACACGGTCAGCTGTCAAAACATTGTTTAAGTTACATTGACAACGGTGTGGTCATCTCCCACCTGCTGCTTGGCACTGCAATGTAAACCCCACCCGGATCAGGACCCAAATGAGAAGGACAACAATTCTGTGTGTCCAAGTGTGTGGAGGATACCTGGCACACAGGTTTGAGTCTGGCTCCAGGTTTGCAGCTGGAGTGAATGACTGCAGGAGCTCAGACTTCAATGTGCATTGAAGAAGGGACAAATAATGTACCACCGGGATGCTGAGTGGGTACCTGTCACTTGGCCTAGGGAGTGGGTAAAGGAAATCACCAGGCCCCGGGGCCTGGGGCTGGAGTTCGAGTTACACACCAGCCTCTACTCACCCCCTCCGCCTCGGTCAGGTTGAGCTGGGAGGAAGCCGAAGCCAGGCTCCGAGTCTCGGGCGACTCCGACATCCTGATCCCTGATCCCTGATCCCTGCTCCTGCTCCGCCGCCGAGCCCCCGTCTCCCGTCCCCACAGACCACAGACGGGCCGCTGGCTGGCGACCAGAGCCGGCCACGCCCACTCCCAGCCTCGCCCACTCACTGCCCTCTCACCACGACAACTTCCCCGCCCCCTTCCCTGACTGACAGCCATCTCGACCAATCCGATGGCCACATAGTCTATTGACAGCTGCCCCGTCGGGCGGGCACAGAACAAAGCTGCAGTGATACCCCGCAGGGGTGTACTCACAACTCTGAATGGGGAACGGTGCAGGGACAGGTTTAACCAGAATACAGCATTCATACATTACCTTTTAAGTTCAAGTTGTTAGACCTCTGATTTGGATAATCTACGATGAAATTGACTAGCTACATTTCACTTGCTCAAATTGAGCTTAAACATGAAATTAAGATGTTGGAGAAACTCAACAGGTCTGGCAGCAAGTGTGGAGTAAAATGGTAAGTTTCTCCAGGGTATAATAATGAACTATTTCCACTAGTTGAAGATTTAAGAACTAGGGGGCATAGTCTGAGAATTCGAGCCAGACTGTTCAAGAGAGACAAAATCAGCAATTCCCTGGAAAAACTCAGCAGGTCTGTCAGCATGTGTGGAGAGAAAACTGAAGAAGGGGCAACGAACCCGAAACATGAACTCTGCTTTCTCTCCACAGATGTTGCCAGACTTGCTGAGTTTTTTCCAGGAATTTTTTTGATTTTTTTTTCTGATTTCCAGCATCCACAGTTTTGTTTTGTTCTGGAGTGATGTTAGAAAGCACTTCTATAGATAAAGGGTGATAGATATTTGGAACTCTTTCACAAATGGCAGTAGATGCAATTGTTAATTTTAAATATGAGATAGATAAATTTTGTTGAACACACATTACAGGATATGGGACAAAGGCAGATACACTGAGTTAAGCCATAGATCAACATGATCTCATTGACCAGTTGAGCAGGCAGGGGTGGCTGAATGGCCTACTTCTGTTCCTATGTTCCTAGTTTCTGTGCTTGCTTCAGCTTGCCAGCAACTGCGTTTTTTTTATTTGAGCTTAGGCATATCTTCTTTCAAGAAACCTCATAGGCTTATGGAAAGTGTCTTATCTCTGAACCAGGAGATTCTGGTTCAGGTCCCACTTGCTCCAAAGATGTGTAATAACATCCCTGAACAGGGTGATTAAAAATATCTTTGACAGACCTTAATGCCCAGTAATGTTTAAACAGCAGTAACTACCGTTAAGCCTGTGGTTGAATACATTTCCCATATTTTCTGAACCATAGTTCACACATTTTCAAGAAAAAAGTTCCTTTAATTGCCATGCACCTTCTAGTCCAAAGGTTACCCTGTCATGGACAGCATTATCACTTGTTTCAGAGTTATGTACAGCGATGACCATACCAATAGTAAGCAGTGTCTGTTTTGTGGAAAATCTGACATGAAATCAATGAATTTAAAACATTAAAATGTCTCTTGTACTGTCCAATTCAAACTGGAAGGTGTGTCATAAAGCATATAAATAGAGTGGCTGAAAGATATTTTGTTCCCCCCTCATTAAGGAAATTATATTGAGAAAAGGCAAGAGGAAGAGACAGTGGCAATAGAAAAAGGCAAACAGACTTATCATGGGGATTTTGCAGAACAGCCATGAGGGGAAGAAAAGGTGAAAACGTGCACAATGGACCACAGGTAAAATGGAATGTCTAATCATTTGTGAAACAAGAAGAGCTGTAAATACCATTACAGATTTTGGCAGGAGAAATTCTCAGTTCCACAGATTTGTGAAAATAATGATTTGAATATGGAAAGATGAGGAATACAAACAAAGTCCCCTTGACATTTAATGTTTGCTCAATGAAATATTAAAAGTCAGGGGGAATTGTGCATATTGGCAATCTTTACAAAAATGTTGGTATTAAAGCTGTTGAAATAATACTAATAAAAACACAAATAGAAAAGCAAAATATTGCAGATGGTGGAAGTCTAAAATTAAAACTGAAAATGTTGTAATAATCAGGAGGCCACACAACATCTTTCAATGAAAAATATTTGGTCATGAGAAGACCCACTACATTGTTGTTTTGGTGTGTTGTTCAGGTGGCAAAAAAAAAAACCAGCATTCTTACAGGTCTTTTACAGAAAAAGGACATCTAAGATTGAAATTCCAAATTTGATTTTTCTACATTTATCCTAAAGGATGTATGATTGAAGAAGGGATGAAATTGTGGTTAAACAAACAGTGGTCAGAAGGTGACCTTCTAAAGAAATCAAATTCCATCACTGTGAGATCAGTTATAAATGTATGTAACTGAGGCCACTGTCAATTTTGTTTGTTTATGTGCCTGGGTGCCCTTGGAGAGGGAGGATGAGCTGTTCGCTGGTATGCTTGAGACCTTCCACAATCAGTGGGCACTTCAGTGTATTATCTCCATCCACATTGACATTTTAATCTAAATTTAATTTTGCTTTGAGCATTTGACCATTGTTAGTGTCCCTTTAAGGGATATTTATTGTTTAATTTATTTAATGGTATTTAATTGATTGAACTAAAAATTGTTTATCAAAAGAGCATAACTAAGAACACAAAAAGAAGGATGACAAAATCAAAGTTGTCTCTAGTTGTGACTCCAGGCAGGTCTACAAGCCAATTACAACCCTTGGATCCTTTAAATGGAAAAACCATGCAAAGCATCCATGCCAGAGGAGTAGCCAAACGGATGGGTGCATGAAGCTGCAACTTGACACCAACAGGGCAAATTACCCACACCTTCACTGGAGTCTGAGTGAGTGAGTGAGAAATTGTGAATGAGCGTGAAAGGATAACAAATATGTGGCAAGTAGTGAATGACTCTATGACAAGGCAGTTCTGTAGTCATTCAAGAACTGTACTAGTTGCAATGATCTAGATGGCAGTGAAGACGACCTACTATTTGACAAAGATGACAGTTCACATACACCAGTGATAGTGTGGTACAGTGAAGGGGGTTATTTGGGCTGCTACCATGAGTATGATGTCATACTGCATTATTGTTTTGTCCCAAGATTTTGGGTCATGGTGGCTCAGTGGTTAGCACTGCTGGCTCACAGTGCTAGGGACCTGGGTTTGATTCCAACCTTGGGTGATTGTCTGTCTAGAGTTTGCACATTCTCCCCTTGTCTGCAGGGGTTTCCTCCAGGTGCTTTGGTTTCCTCCCACAGTCCAAAGATGTGAAGGTAGGTGGATTGGCCTTGCTAAATTAGCCACAGTGATCAGTGATGTCCAGGCTAAGTGGATTAGCCATGGGGATTGCAGGGTTACAGTAACAGGGTGGGGGAGTGGGTCTGGGTGAGATGCTCTTCCAAGAGTCTGTGTCAAGTGACAGTCCAAATGGCCTGTTTCCACACTCTAGGGATTCTATGAAATGCAACTTTAGGTCTGGGTTCAAGACCCATCTGCTCCAGAGGTGTGTAAAACAAAATCACTGAATAGGTTGATTAGAAAGTATCTAAACACAGATATGAGTTGATTGTTATTAAAACCACAGCTAATAGGGCATTTCATTTTTGATTGCTAAAGATGGCACCAATGTGGGTAGAGATAAGACAAATGCACGGGGTTGGATCATATCTGCCAACTGTTTGCCCCATTTCTGTAGTTACATTCGTACCTGTGTGATATTGTAGAGGGTCCATCTGTGCTCTCAATGCCTTTAAAGAGAAGTGAGCGCTGCAGGGGTTATGGTGTTTTATTACCCCTCCAAATCCATTTTGATTTAGACCCATCCTGCTCTCCCTAGCCCTCCGTCACTTTTGATGGGGCTTGCATTGCCCATAACAAGCTTTGCATGTACATATCTAATTGGCCGTATGGGCGATTTTACTGGTAGTAGGAAAAAATGTCACGGTGATTTGGTGATGTTCTGTTGTTATGTAAGAGTACTTCCGGATATAAAATAAAATTCACAAGATCCCTGTGATCGTGTTTTGAATTAGTGCCTTCAGCAGAGATAAGAAAAGATGGTAAAAAAAATTATGTTTGTTTTACTAATGCAAATATTCGGTCACTTATTTTCTGTTACTCATTTGCATCCGTTAGTGCGGCTGGACAGAGAAAATACTCAGACCTCTACAATTCAGCGTTACGATGTGTAAAAGTCATCGAATGTAATGCAAAGAGTCGGGAATTTTAGATTTCCAACACCCGCTGTACTCTGTGCAAACAACCAGGAGCTCACTCTGCACAAAGGATATGAAGATACAAACAGTGTTTGGCTCTCTAAGCAACCCCGTCACATGCAAGAAAACCTAGGCAACCCACAGCAGTTTACATTTCCGTCTGTGAAGCTGAGGGTTTCCTGCGCTACCAGTGCAAAGTAACATTGCAACCGGCCTCACACTACCGACGGCAAGGACGGCTCCACGAAGTGCTGGTAGGACAGGGAACCACTGCACTCCCAACAACAAGGTAAAAAAGTAAAACCCAGAAAACAGCCTGTTTTCTTCATTTTTCTGAAGAAGGGTCTAGGCCCGAAACGTCAGCCTTCCGGCTCCTATGATGCTGCTTGGTCTGCTGTGTTCATCCAGCTCTACACCTTGTTATCTTAAACAGCCTGTTCAGTTTCTGCCTCAAATCGAGCATAGCTCAGATACACTCACCCACTGCGCTGGTATGCTTTCGTTTGCAACCCGTCTTAACATTGTACTTTATAGCTTAAGGCAAAGTGCCACGGAATCATTATAACTAAATAATTGGTTTAGAAATCCAAGGAGTTTCCAGATCCAATTTTATGTTCAAATTTTTAACCCAAAATTTCTTCCGTGCAATAATAGTTATAAGCGATTTCAAACAGGTATTCGCAATAAGTTTCATAATCCGGCAGTAACAGAAATGGAAACACTTGTTTGCGAATCCTAAGAATATTGTTTCAATTTATCGTTTTATTTCCTTGTCCATCAATGATTGGGTTTTATACATTGTTACAACAGAATAACTGTAGATTTATGGAACATTTGTGGTAACTGAGAGGATACAATGGGAATTTAAAATGATACATCAGCAGTAATCAGATCCAATTTCTCATACTACTGAAATGCTTAGATCTAAGGCACACTGATGTGAAGCAGCTGTTAGTCAGGAGGGTGGGAGATAGCTCTCGAGAGGAGGAGGTAAGTGGGTTCTTTTTTGGGTCTAAATGACTCCAACTTGGCACAATTGAACGGAGAGTTTAAACTTGAGACATTTCCCCATAAGAATCTTGGTAACTGAGCAAGACACACTTCCGATAAGGCACCTCTTCATCACCTTCTGATAAGAAAGCAACTTACCATCATCAACGATAGGAAGCTAAGAAAAAGTGCACTGTTAATTACTCATGATATTGCCATTGATAGAAATGGATGATCTAAATTCAGGAAACAAGCAGTTTGAATAAAGATGAGAAATGATAAAGGCAAGGAGTCACTTGGAGGTGCAGTGGACAGGCCCCTCAATGGTAACCACAGAGGGGATGGAATATAAAGGAAGAACAAAAATGGGAAGTTGTCAGAAAGGTATAGTGATAATCATGGGGGATTTTAATCTGTGTAAAGACTCAGAAAATCAGTTGGGCAAAGGTAACACAGATGAGGAGTTCATAGGCAACACAGAATGGAGCTGGAAGAACACAACAAGCCAGGCAGCATCAGAGGAGCAAGAAAGTTGACGTTTCAGGTTGGGACCCTTCTTCAGATTTTCTGGAACAAATATCCAGTTTTTAACCTGGTAAAAGTTAGAATTCAGAGTTCAAATGTGAGGCAAGTACAGTGCAAATTGATATGCCTTCTAACCTGCCACATCAGCATCTCTCAATAGTTGTAAGTGAGATGACAATTAAATCTTCTAATGGTGTAGAATGAATACTCTGAGATCAAGTAAAGCATTGGGGGGGATGCAGGCTGAAACCCTTTCAACACTATTCCCTTACTATGTTTTAACCCAAACTCAACACCAGTGTACTCTTGCCGTTCAATCAGTCAGACAATCTTAATATCTACAATTGCTAATTTAATACTTTATATCATTCAATAATGAGAAATTTTGTAGGTTCAAGCTGATTAGCAACTCGCTTCAGAAGCCCAAAAATTATTTCAATCAACATCCATAACGGTATATTTTCAGATACCTCCATTTCCATCAAAATCAATAACCAGAAAGGGAACTGATAGGTGTTTGTGTCTCATTGAGCAAAACTTCATCTTGCAAAAAGAATCTGTATTGATTGGAACCAGGTGGATCTCATTGACGATGAAATCCTTGAATGGGTTTGTTAATCTGTACCAATCAGGGCACCCTGGTTGACAAATATAAACAGGGGATTCAGAGAGTTTCCTGACTGCAGGGATAGACTCTTGAGTTGGCTGGCCACTGCCAGTGTATTGTGCATATGTAAATAAAGGTGACTTGATGATGGGATACCAGTCTCTGTACAGTTATTTCAGTGGCGATGGAAGATAACAGCATGTGCCTGAAGAGCATTTGCTCTTTGAGTCATCTTTGAGTTGGAGTAAGCATTTCTGGCGTCATGCCTTTATTTGGGAAGCTTGACTCATTCGATCTTGCCGTCGAGGCCCAGTATGCAGAAAGAATGCAATACTTTTTCTGTGAAAATGACACTGGGGCAGATGAAAAGCAATGAGTAATCCTTCCGACTGCTTGCAGACCCACACCATTTTCAATTGTTATGGGCTTAACTTTCGCAGAGGTATTAGACCACTAAAACCTTGACAGGTTTGGTTAAAGAATATTACGACCCCAAACCTCTTCTAATTCGGAGACTCTATCGGTTTTATTCGGCTGTTTGAGAACCAGGAGAATATGTATCAGGGTTTTTGACGAAGTTGAGATTACTGCCATTTGCATGTGATTTTTGGTTACACTGAATGAGACACTGAGAAACCGTTTGGGATGTGGAATTAATGATGTAACCATGCAAAAGAACCTACTAGCTGAAGCCCAATTGGAATTCAAACAGGCACTACAACTGGCTTTGTCATTAGAAAATACAGCAGGTGGAGCATGGGAACTACAGGGCATTCCCAATGTAAGTGGACGCCCTCACCTGTCTGACTGAGCTTGGGGAACACCACTCAAGTGTAGGCAATCGCAGAGCCTCACACAGGGCATACCCAAAGACCATAAGACATAGGAGCAGAAATTAGGCCATTCAGCCCATTGAGTCAGCTCCATCATTCAATCATGGCTGATAAAAGTCCCACCTGAGCAGAGCGACTCTAGGCCAGTCCACAGCAAAGACAAGCCTTAGGCAAATGGCAAAAAAAGGCTCTTCAGGATCTGGGCCAGGAAGCCATTGTGGTTGCTGTTGGTATGTGGACACAAATCCGCAAAGGGATCCTATTAGGCCTGACTCAAGTAAGAAAACTCATAGGCCTGTATCCAGGAGAATGCATACCCTGGAAAGTCCACCTACATGTGGGTTGGAACAGTTAAATTGCTTAGCAACATCCAAATCAGAAGTAATTAAGATTAATGTCTGGTAAAACGGTCACCTGGTTCTCATAAGGTCGATACCAGTGCAGCTGTATCAATGGTTGCAAAACCAGTCTTTAACAAGATTTGCTGTAGACTCCAACCCTTCAGTTAGTGCAAGACCTCAGGCCAGATTGAGAAAGTTCACTGGAGAATCATTACAGGTTAAGGGTACGACTTTGGTTTAGGTCTCCTATGAGAAGCAATCAGTACAGTTACACTGATTGTAGTAAGAGGCTCGAACCCAAGCCTATTGGGGTGGAATTGGTTGAGAAAGATTAAACTTGATTAGCCCCACATTTTTCGATTAGAAAATGGCTTTCACAGTGAAGTTCTAATGAAATATTAAGGATATTTTCAGGAAGACTATCAGAGGGGCCAAAGCCTCTTTACGTGTTGACCAGGAAGTGATTCCATGATTTTGCAGGACCCGCACAGTACCATTTGCCTTGTGAACAAAAGTAGAGGCAGTAATCAGGAGGCTGGAGAGCAAAGGAAATACCAAAACAGTGCAGTTTGTGGACTGGGCAGCACTGGTCCTATCAATTGTGAAGCCCGATGGCTCAGTTCGCCTTTGTGGGAATTTTAAGCAAACGGTAAACTGCTTCTCACAGCTGGATAAATATCCAGTCCCTTGCATAGAAGATTTGTATGCCAAATTTGGAGGGGGGAGCTGTTCTTCACGAAGCTGGGCATGAGGCATGCCTACCTGCAATTGCGAGATGAGGAGTCCCAGAGTTATGCCACAATTAATACCCATAAGGCCCCAATATACAGGATTGCCGTTTGGGGTACCATCAGCCTGCGCCCTTTTCCTGTGAACCATGGAGAACATTTTACAAGGGCTGCCCCAGGTTGCCAATTATCTGGATGGCATGCTAACAACCACGACGGGTTTCGGCCCAAAACGTTGACTTTCCTGCTCCTCGGATGCTGTCTGACCTGTATGGCTTTTCCGGCGTCACACCTATAGATGAATAAAGAGCACGCGAAGAACTCGGACATAGTGCTTAATCATTTCTTCCAGCCAAGTGTACGCCGTAGAAGGGAAATATGCGTGTTCCAGGCACCACAATGACCTACTTGTGTTGCAGAGTTGACAAAACTGGGTTACAACATTTGGAAGATAAAGTGAGATGAAGATCAAAGGTGCCCTGGCTCCCACGTCTGTACTAGAGCTTAGGTCTTTCCTTGGGTTGGTGAATTATTGTGGAAAATTCATACGTAACCTGGCCTCCATCTTGGCACCCTTACACCTGCTATTGAAAAAGGGTCAGCCTTGGAAATAGTCACGTAGCCAAGAAGTAGCCTTTAGGGAAGTGAAAAAGACAGCTATTGTTATCCAAGGTGTTGGCCCTCTATGATCTGAAAGAAGCGGTGGTGCTGACATACAAAGCCTCCCCACACGGTATTGGGGTAATGTTGGCTCACTGGTGGTTAAACGGAGAGGAAAGCCCGATAGCGTATGCTTCCTAGACTTTGGCTGATGCCGAATGCAAATACCAGATAGAGATAGAGAAAGAAGGTTTGGCAGTCATCTTTGGGTGAGAAAGTTCCACCAATACCTTTACAGATGTGAATTTGTCATAACGGGCGACAAGCCCCTGCTAGGGTTACTTAAAGAAGATAGGGCTGTGCCACCCATAACTTCTGGTCAAATTCAGCATTGGGCCCTTATTCTCGGCACCTACAAGTTGGAACATAGTCCAGGAGGCCAGGTGGCTAATGCAGATGCCTTGAGCGGCCTCCCACTGGCAGATACTCCACCGGTGGTGCCTTCCCTGGAAGAGTCCTTCTGGTTTTCAACTTTCTGGACACAATTCCGTTCATCGCTGACAATATTCGTCTGTGGATGCAAAAAGAACACATCCTGGCCAAACTAAAACATAGGTGGCAAAGGGGGAAACAAAAGAGCCATTACAACCAGAATTGAAACCTTTCTGGACCTGGCGAGATCAGATCACAGTAGAGGACAGCATATTATTATGGCGAGCAAGAGTGATTGTCCAGAGTAAAGGTCGCTGCCAGATACTGGCTGACTCCATCAGGGTCATCCAGGGGTTTCCAAAATGAAGATGTTGAACAAGAAGTTATGTCTGGTGGCCAGCATTGAATGCAGACATAGCTGCCTTGGCGGGGCCGTGCCCAGAACGCCAACAAGGACAAAAATTGCCATTGGCGGTGCCCCCACATTCGTGGGAGTGGCTGAGTCAACTGTGGATTCGGTTACATGCCAATTATGCCAGTCCTTTCACGGGCTCAATGTTCCTGGTCATTGTGGATGTCCGTTCAAAGTGGATGGACGTGCACAGAATTAATTCGGCAAACTCTGGGAAGGCAATTGTAAAGCTGCGAGCTTCGTTCGCAATACACGGACTCATGGAAATATTAGTCACGGACAATGGGACGTCATTTACTTGCAGGGAATTCGAGTATTTCCTAAAGTTCAATGGCCTTTGGCATGTTTAGACAGCTCCATACCATCCATCATTCAATGGACTGGCATAAAGAGTGGTCCAAACATTGAAGGCAGGCTTAAAGAAACAGCCTACAGCTTTACTAGATACCAAACTGTCCCGGTTCCTGTTCAGTTATAGAACCATCCCTCACGCAAATGCAGGGATAGCTCCAGCAGAGTTGCTGATGGACAGAAGACTCCGGACCAGGTTAAACCTGATATTCTGGACCTTGGGGGGAGGGTGAAATGGCATCAGGAACGTCAATGCTGGACAAATGCTTCCTCTGAGTGAGACAGACAGTTTAATTCAGGGGAAGAAGTTTGATGCCCCAACCATGGAAATGGCCTGGCCTGGGTACGAGGCGAGGTCAACGTGAGGTCAGGTCCCATGACATAGAAAGCTCAGGTAGGTGAGGTGGTCCTGAACAAACGTGGGGATCACCTGAAAGCTGTTACCTCGCAAACGGGGCAGGAGCAAAACATACCCGGACCCTCAACACAGCCAGAAGGCCTGTCAGAAACTGTAGCTTCTCCCCCTCCATCTTGTGTCGAGGAAACCCCAGAGTCCGAGATGTATGTAGTCTCGATACCAGTACTGCTGGCAGAAGAGGAGGATAACCTCCCAGGACGCTCCAGGTGAAAGAGATGGGTTATGGTCCAGTACTTGCTGCCTGTGTCCAAGTCTGTGTCAGAAGAAATGGATCTGGGGTGAAAACATCCCAGGAGAAGCTACCATAGGAAGACCAGGCTTACATTCCTGGACTTGAGGGTTGTCGGGGGGAGGCATCTAGTGATTAGAACCAGGTGGATCGTATTGACAATAAGATCCCTGATTGGGGTTGTTAATCTGGGCCAATCAGGGAGCCCTGGCTGACAGATATAAACAGGGCACTCAACAAGTCTCAAACATAGTAAGAACTGCAGATGCTGGAGTCAGAGATAACATTGTGTGGAGCTGGAGGAACACAGCAGGCCAGGCAGCATCAGAGGAGCATGAAAGCTGACCTTTTGGGTCCCATTTATGTGTTAACTCAGAGTCTCCTGACTTTAGGGACTGACTCCGAGCTGGCTGGCCACAGCCAGTGTACATTTAAATAAAGGGTGACTTGGTGGTAGGATATTAGCCTCTGTGCAGTTATTTCAGTATCCAAAACATTTTATCCTTTTACAGTAGATACAGTGGAGGTTTTCATCCCAACTGTCTAGAATTGACCTCAGACAACAGAAACAAAATGACAAGAGGTAACAAGGTGTAGAGCTGGATGAACACAGCAGGCCAAGCAGCATCAGAGGAGCAGGATGCTGATGTTTCGGGCCTAGACCCTTCTTCAGAAAATTTTTCTGAAGAAGGG